AAGAAAGATAAATGATCCAATATAAAAGTGGGTAACAGACTTAAATAGAATATTTTCAAAAGAAGACAAAAGGAAGGCCAAGAGGTATATGAAAATATGATAGGATATTTAAAAGCTCACACTTACATCTAGCCTCTTCCAAAAGAAAACCACAAAGCAAAGTCATTTGTCAAAGCCTAATTTCATGAATAACAACTAGTTAACATCTATATGAAATCTGCCTTTTAAAAACATACATATTTTGGCCCTAGCTGGGTTTGCTTAGTGGATAAAGCCTACAGACTGAAGAGTCCTGGGTTTGATTCTGGTCAAGAGCACATGCCTGGGTTACAGGCTCAATCTCCAGTAGGGGGCATGCAGGAGGTAGCCGATCAGTGATTCTTTCTCATCATTTGTATTTCTATCTCTCACTCTCCCTTCCTCTCTAAAACCAATAAAAATATATTAAAAAATAAAAATGTACATATTCTGAAACCATGTTGTACTTGAACTTGAACTTCTTTATAAACAAAACTCATTGTGAAAACAAATAGTGAGCTGAGAAGTTAATCAAATATATATTGAATCAACTATATGATTATTAATATTAGAGGCAGGGCCAATTGAAGGACAGAGGAGTAAAAACAAACAAACAAACAAAAACACCACCACAATTATTATTCTTGTGTTTTGCAAATGCGAAATGCAGGGCAGAATTAACTGAGACAGGATGAGGGGTACAACACAGAGTTCCATCTTGGGTTTGTTAAATTTCAACTGCCTTTTACATGCAAAGTGTGTTAACTGGAGGGTCATAAAGGCAGTTCAGGAGACAGCACACTGGACATGTAACTCTGCATTCTACCAACCTCTCTTCATTCTCACATTCTTGCCTCAGCATCAGAGTCTTGGTACTGTCCCACTATTCCTTTCCAGTGTCTTTAGTTACAGAAGTTGCTCTCTCTCTCTTCTGTGCAACCCTCTGAAGAATAGAGATTGGCCTTTATTTTAGCTGCTTTTCTAAAAAAGAGTAAAGATCTGTTTTTCATGAATTTTGGTGATAAAACTTTTAATCTCATGAAAGTTATAAATGACTGTAATTTGTAGATTTTCACTGCCAATATTTATAACCATTGCATAAATGAGATTTTCTTTCTAGCTACCTGCGAAATGTGAATTAGCTTTTCTTACAAATATGACTAAAGAACATTTTGGTTATTACTTTAGTGATTTTACGTAAACTGCATGCATTAAACTTCCTTTTAGTACAGAATATTTCACAATTACAATGTCATTGCCTGGATGATGTACTTGTTCTTGGAATAGCTATTCAGCTCTATTATGATCTGCTTTCTTCCATGATCATTGCCCCTGAAGATTATAAAATAGCATAGTATGTCTTTGGTTAAAAATATTGACAGATTGGAAAATATTGTTAATGTTAGTTTATAATAGTTGTAAAAATGTTAATGAGAATAAACATAAATATGGGTGCTAAACATTCAGTTGTGTCCCTCCCCCAAGATAATGTTGAAATCTTAACTCCACATACCTCAAAAATTGACCTTATTTGGAAACACAGGTAATTGCAGATGTAATTAATTAAGACAAGGTTATCCAGGGGGTAAGATGTGTGTCATGAGTTTAATATGACTGTTGTTATTACAGAAAAAGACAAAGAGGGAGAAGTCAGATTTGTGACAACAGAGACAGAGATTGCAGTGATGCATTTACAAACCAAGAAATGTCAGGATTTCCAATAAATGTCAGGAAGTAGGAGAGGCAAAGATGAATTGTATAGCTGCCACAAAGAGCAAAGCTCTGCTGTTGTTTCTTAGCCACTAATTATGATACTATGTTTTGGCAGAGCTAGGAAATAAAAACAACGGGATATCCAGCATGTGTGTCATAGATCAATTTATTGTGTATGCATTTTTTTAAATTTTATGATCTTTTAACAAGAGAAAAAATTAAAAAACAATCAAATAATCCAGAAAATATCATTACTACTGTGTTACAACTGTTGATTCAATTGGTCTCAGATTTGTGTTGTGCATGTAACACTATTACTTGGTTGACTTTCCCTTTAGTTGTTATATTTTGCTTGTGGGTGCTTTTTTTTTTTAAGCAGAAATTTGTAGACAGAAACATTACTTTTGGTCAAATTATTTTTAAATTCCAATATAATGCATTGGGTAATACAAATAATACCCTAAACTTTGAATTGTCCAATTAAATATGCCTTTTGAGGCACTTTGGATGTATTTGTTGTAAACAGGCTGATAATACGTTGCTAGGTATATGAAAGGGTTTTTTAGTAAGAAGAATCATCACGAGGAGAGAGCAAAGAAGACTTCTCACCAAGCCTGTATATAAAGAGAAAATGGAAAAAAAATTTTTATTAAACAACAGACCAAGTTATTGCTAATTCCAGTATGCTTTCCAGTTTTTGAATTATATCTATATCTATTTCTTTGTGTCTAACAAACTGTTCATAGTTGTGCTTTTGTTACCCCCTACTAGTTCACAGATGAACTTTGTTACCCCTACCAAATGATAGGCTGCTCTAACCTTCTGCTTGTCCCAAAACTTGAACAAGCACTGAAAAATGAATTATACTCCTTTATCAGTTTATCCTGAAGGTCTGCTGACTATAGTGGACACTTTTTCCTACTGGTTATTTCCCTATGCTAGTTTACTTTCCCCTTAAAAGCTTATCCTAATCTTTGCTTACTTCTCTCTACCATGTAGGAAAAAGAAAAATGCCCTTTTCTGTTTCATTTTGAGACACTTGCAGATATCTGAGATTCCAGGGACCTCCTCATGGCAAATATCTTTGTTTAGAATAAAGTATTTCCTTGTCCATGTTTTGAAAAGTTTTTACTTGACACAATAAAGGTTGTTTGACCCAAAACCGTGCCTTGGTTAAAATTATTCTGATAAAAAAATCTTTATTAAAATTATTCTGAAGTAGTTATATCATCAGATTCCAATTTAGAATAAATTACTGCTATCTCTGCTATATCTTTCATAGTTCTAGCTCTTGTTCTCCATCTTAAATTACTGTGCTAGTTCCCCAGTGAATTGTTTACGATCTGTCAGTACTCCCCTTATCCTGCTGGCCATATTGTGGCTTATGCAATAGGTCTCAATAACACATCCAGTCACATCACTGCCTTTCAAATGGTATTCTGACTGTTGATAGCTGGCCTTATATCCATCTTCATGACTAGATAATAAGCTGTCCACTGCAGAGACTCTGCTTAAAGGTATTTGTGTTCCAGTGGTAACTCTCTGCATGTTCACCATATGGTCCACAAATATCTGATGACTAAATGAATGCAAATTTCAGCTGCTTCCCTAATTCCCAAAATAGTATCACAAGAACCAGGATTTATTTCCAATTCTATCTTTCAAAGAATTCCTTATTTCCAGGTCTTTAAATCTTGTGGCCAAACTAATTATAGTATATGCACCAATGTATGATGTGTTCTTTTACATATTTAAGTGTTTTAAGAAACATTGAACAAAGAATGAAAAAATTATTGTGTAAGCTTTTATGGTAATTTTTTCTCACTTGTCACTTCTCACATGAGGTTCAGTTCTGCAAGTAAGTGCACGTGGCTTTTGAATTTGAATGCTATTCATTTTCAAAATTAACTAAGCCAAATGAATGTCTTTAACCTCCCCTACATAAACCAAGCAAAACATAGGTGCAAAAGTCTCTGAAAATCCAAACCAAAACAAGGGAGGGACAACAGAAGAAAATTGTCTCTTTTCTTGAAGGCATATTTACTCAACATTTTTATGTGCTAAATAGAACTTGCATCCATTTCTCCTTTTCCCCTTCCCAAGTTTCATTTTTTACTCAATCCATTATGAAATCTACTGATTTTTTTCTGAGTTTTTTCTCCTATTTATTTTAAGTCTTTCTATCACCAGCCTATCTCAGTTTGCCTGCCCCTTCTCTTGAATAGTGAACACAATTTATCCATATTTGTCTCTCCAAAAAGTATATATATATATAAACTTTTTAATATTCACTTAGATATGTGCTCTGACTGAAAATTGAACCCTTGACCATTTGGTGCAGAGGGCACAAATCATCTTTTTAATTAATTATATTCAGTTATCGCAGCCTAGCGAGTAAGCTCAGACTCTGTCCTGTCAGTAACTGGAGCTTGACTTGAATAAATTATGCATGTGTATTTAAAAATAATTGAAATCTCTTGGAGTTGTTTCGCTTCAAATTGTAGAACTGCTTTATTTTGTAGAGAAATATTTAATCTTCTATGGAATTTGTAATACTTAATGTTGTTTGAGATAAAATGGACTCTTTAAGAGTAAATTTATAATATTTCCTCATCTTCTCATTGTAACTATAGTAGAGCTCCATCCTAATTGCTCATCAGAGTCCCAAGGTTAAGTTTCTCAAACTTTACTGTATTATGAATCAGTAAGAACCCTTTTAAAATACAGATTCTGATTGAATAGGTTTGAGGGGGGCTTCACACTCTAACTTTCTAACAAGTTCCTGATTATATTTGTGCCCCTGCTCCAAAGATTACATTGTTGAAAGTCATGTTTTAAACAGAAGCACAGATTTAATGCAGGGCATGATCTAGTCACAATCAACTACAACTTTAATCATGGGTATTGATGGAATATGTCTTTAAATTCTCTCACCAATTCTATAAAGGGGGCACATACTACAATACCTGGTATTCCATAGAAAAGATTAGAAATAGTTCAAGGTCATGAAACTGGTAGTTGTCCCAAACAGGATACAATCACCAGAGTTCCCAGTCCTAAAAGCCCATCTCAAACCACACCAGCACAGAACTTTTCTTTTAGAAACATTTAGAGGAATAAAGGCAGTTTTGGAAAACTATACCTCTCTATAATGCTCAAACTGGTCTGTTCGGGATTTGATGGCTACATTTTATTTATTTTAATTTTAATTCTGGAGAGCAAAATATGTCACTAGATGCAACTTACCTCTGTCATCTGTCCTGTGCTTACTACTTTTCTTCATTTGGATATGGATATGGATATGGATAAATGGGTGGATTCTGTGGATAATTGGGTGGATACTCTGGATAATTGGATGGATACTCTGGATAATTGGGTGGATTCTGTGGGTAATTGGGTGGAAACCCTGGATAATTGGGTCGATTTGGGTAATATCCTCCCTAAAACAATAAAATTACAAAGAATTGAGACAATGGCAGTATAAATGTATTTCACAATAATTTCTTTTTTCTATAAATCTTTATTGTTGAAAGTTTTAGAGTTGACTCCTTTCCCCCCCATTGACTCCTTCTAGCCGAAACCCCCAGCCCACCCCAGGTTCTCACCTCATTATTGTATATGTATATGGGTAATGCATATGAGTCCTTTGTTTAATCTCTTCCTGCCAACCCACCTACCCTCTGCTTCCCTGTGAGATTCCACAAGTTGTTCCATGCTTCTATGTCTCTGGATCTATTTTGTTCATCAAGTTATTTGACACAATAATTGCCATTAGAAACAGAGATGTTACAGTTGGTAGGGACATTTATATCAACTATATGTTTGATTTTTCAAATTTTTAGATAAGTTTTCACCTTTTAAGTTATAATTTTGTAAAAAAAAAGAGAAAAGTAAGAAAACATTTAGAGGTATACACATTGTTGACAATCTAGATTTATAGTACAGGTGGAGCTGTTGACTATGGCCCAACCACTCACAGAAGTTTTAAATATTCTTAAACTATTACCTCCACACTCCTACATTGCTTGTCTTTTAATTTAGAAGGAATTTGCTAATTCCAGGTTAGGTGGAATTATTACATCTCAATCTCTACTTATAATGACCTTACTACTATCTCTTAAAACTCCTACTTTCTTTAATATTCACTCCCATTAAATTCAATATCCTTCATCCTTCCATCTTTTAATTTGGTGCCATAGTATAATTCATCTATTTAATATATTAGTAATAATTTTTGAGGCCTTATCATATTGGTATGAAATATGAAAATAATTTGAGATATTAAGAATGCATTTGATTACAAAATGCCAAGTAAATGAATTTTTATCTTATTTAACAAGAACAATTTAACTCAACCTAGTGACTTCATCGTCCTCCACAAGAATCAAAAGGTGAAAACTTACCACATCTCCTGTGTCATTAGCAGCTTTTATACTTCATTACATTTATTATGTTTAACAGATTTTGAATTTCAACTATTCTTAAGGCAGAGGCAAATACTTACCAAACAAATATACTTATATTCTGTGAATTTAATTGGAATCTTGAGGGTAGCATTATATGTTTCTATGTAAATGCTACCAGTACATAAACTTTGGATCCTTTACCAGTTTATCATAAATAAATAAACTCAATGTCTACATTAGGCATTCATTATATAGATATGTTTAAGAGATAAGGATTGATTCTTCTAATAGAATAAATACTCAGAGGAGAAAATGTGTTTTATTATACTGGATTACCTGGACAATATTTACATTGTATCTTTTTTTACAGAAATGATGTTTCTGTTAAAATAAAGAACAGGTTAAATTTGTTATCCATGTATAATTACAAGTTTCTCAGTATATGAATGTGTCTTACCTCTTCAGAAGAATCAGCACTCTTGAAAAAAGAAAAAAGAAATAATGAACATTTCAAATGTATAATTCTAGATTGAGTATCAAAATGCACTTAACTGCCACAATTATCATTGAACAAAATGGAAGCAAATCTTAGGAAATTGACGTGCTAGCTAGCTGTTTCATATTAGTGACAGAATGGATACTAGGCTTAGGATATACTTAATTTGCTACACTCTGATATCAATGCACTTGAGTCCAAATTGCATGATAAGGAAGGAAGTCAATCATTGGGATCAAGAGAGTGAAAATGAAAATTTTAAATGTGGATTAGCTCCAGACCATGTATGTTCTAAGTTGCTGAAAAACTATATATATTTACATATTGATTGTACAGGTACAGATTGTTGATATTATTATGGTTTTCTCTCTTCTTCCAGGATTTTTTTTTTGAACTTGCACTTCTGTGCATGCTTAGTGTTTGTCTGTGTACTTGAGATTTATTCTAAGTCCTTAATGTACTGACGTTAATTAATTCAAGGAAAATGTCCACATAATCATGTTCACATGATGCAACTGTGGCCCACAACACAAGAAATAAGGAACAATCTCTGAATAACTTGTGAGAACATATTCTTCAAAATGTTCTGATATATTTACAATCATGGCAACCAGGAGAGCCATGATAAAGGTGAAGACAAAGATCTTCATGTTTGGTTGAGTCCTGTAAAAACATACATGACAGATCAGCAACACACTCATTCCTGCATTTGCAAATCACTTATTGATCAAAGTAGGACCCACAGCTTTGGAAAGGAGACTAGATTTACAAAGAGAATTAAAGCACATCACCTGACATCATGGAACTTAGACACTGGTAGGGGACATTGAAAAGTAAAGATAAGTGCTATTGGTGCAGAAATAAAAAAGTGTCATAAAAGCAGACAAAAAGGGAGGGAATGTGTGTGAGAGAGGGAGGGGGGTAAAAAAAATCAATAAAATATGTAAAAATAAATAAATAAATAAATAAATAAATAAATAAATAAATAAAAAACAAAACAAAACAAAAAAAATAGGGAAAAAAAGCAGACAAAATGGACATCTTAACTAGAATGAGAGAATGGGTGGTATTAAAGTAAAGGAAAGATAAAGCTTATGTTAGATTGTATAGAATTAGTAAAGAGAGGATGAGGGAACCTTCAAAGAAACAAAAATGAGAGAGGATAGCGTACAGAAAATGAAATAATTCACCAAGTAAGAATAAAAACAGAGATGAGCTGGCCATTTAAATTGTGATAGTATAGATGCCTTACATAATGGCATATGAGGTAATTGTTAAGGCAGAGTTTAAAGGAGTGTTTAGAAGTAAAAGGGACAGATTTTACAATAGAGATAGAGACTATCAGTCAAGTTTGCTAGCTTGAGAATTGAGAGGTGGTGTCACCCTGTAATTAGAAAATTATTGATGATGGATTAAAAAAAAGAAGTATCAGGGGAAATATTTGTAGATGCATTTGTAGAATAGGTAAAAATTATTTAATCTCTGAAGACTATGATTCAATGAAATTATCTTAATCTGGGACTTTGTGATACATTTTTATAAATTAATATATACAACTGAACTCAATTCTGTTGCTGTTGTATAGGAAATAAAGCAGATCATTTATTTCTCGGTTATACACTTCTAAATAAAACATATTGCAAACTATAAAGTAAATAGTGAGTGAAAGTTTTTTTCCCCCCTGATAATCCCCCCGCCCCTTTTTTGACAGAATAATAAAGTAGCACCTTTTAGTCAATGATTGGAGAAACTGTTCTGCCTGATAACTCTAAATCTCTAATTTAAGAAGCACAATTTGTGACTGATGGTATTTCCCTTATTTCTTAATCTGCTACTTTTATCTCATTGGCTTAAACTCAGGAATGTGCCATTTGACAAACTGAGAAAATTATATATTTCTTGAAGAAGTTGTTTTTTATTATAATCTTCTTATCAAATATTCAGTCATGTTATGATATAAACAAGGGTGCAGCATTAGTGTTGTTAAAATCTCCAATTATATTAAAACTAGAGGATTAATGGAAATTCATGTAAAACTGGTCTTCTACAGATACCCAGATGGATAATTTACAATCTTTAAAAAATATTATCCAAAAAACACAATGGTATAAGTGATGTAGTATAAAAACTTGCTTCTCCAACCAAATCACACATGAAATAAAAATATGTTAAATAAAAGGAATTCAGAAAACAAAAGTCTATTAACCAATGCTAACTCTGCTGATTCATATTTATGATGAAAAGAACAATGGATCGAAACCAGTTTGGCTCAGTGGATAGAGCATTGGTCTGCGGACTAAAAGGTCCCAGGTTTGATTCCGGTCGAGGGCATGTACATTGGTTGCAGGCACATCCCCGGTAGGAGGTACTCAGGAAGCAGCTGGTCCATGTTTCTCTCTCATAGACGTTTCTAGCTCTCTCTCCCTCTCCCTTCCCTTCCTCTCTGTGGAAAATCAATAATATATATATATATATATATATATATATATATATATATATATATTTGTGGGTTTTTTTAAGAACAATGAAAAGATAATGGAAAATGAACTAGTGATGGTAACACAGTAACTGTGATGAAGGCTAATTAAATCTTTGAAGTAATACATGCATATGCAAAAATAGAGTTTATGCTATTCAAGAGATCATCTATATATAAAACTCTAATATGTAAATAGACCAAAATAGCAGAACAAACGAACAATTGAACAACTGCTCCCTGTGACCACCAGGAGATGCTCGCAGAACATGGCGGCAGAGGGTGAAACATGGCAGGTATTGGGCTGCAGTGGGATGGTGAAGCAGGTAAGCAGGGGCACCAGACCAAGATGGGCATCAGTTGCTGTCATTACGGTGAGCCTCTGGTAGTTACTGAAAATTATTTGCTCCTGCACACCGAGGTCCCATCTGGCGCTCGCACCTGCTACTGGTGCCCACACTGCTCACACCCACAGCTGGTGCCTAAAATGCAGCTCGCATCTCCTGCCTGTCCCCAGAGCTGGTCCAGATTGCTCGATGCCATCAGTGGGTGTGAGCAGCAGCTGCTGGCCCCAATCCTCATGCTTGCTGTCACCTTAGAGGAATGCCAATCTGTCCTTACTTACAGGTCCTAACATAGAATCATTGTTCCTTTAAATTTTTTTTATGAGAGAGAATATCAATAAATAATATACACTTTAAAATGGCTTGCAGCTTATTCTAGCAATCAAAAAAATCACAATAAGACATCAGATTAGATTGTCCATGAATATATTACCTTAAATCCAGACACGATGCAAGAGTTCAAGAAGCTGAAACTGTGAAGTCCTAAGAGATGGTGTGCCTTTCTAGAAGAGTGATGTATTTATATACCCTGAACTCCTCCATTTGCTTTTCTAAATCATATCAACTATGATTTAGAAAATAATGCCCAAAATCTGTAGGTCATTTTAGAATATTAACGGACCAGAACTTGTCCTGTTATTTTATAATTAAGTAAATCAGAGGTCATATCAGCTATACCTAAACACCATACTGTTTGAAAATGCCAGTGCTTTCAGACAAGGGAAAACTCAATAAAGAGTGATTGCTATGTCACAAATGTGGCATTAAATTGATGGCATAAAGGTGCAACCTCTAAATGGGTATTTATGATAATATTTATTCTGGATTTCCTTCTTCTTCTCTTCCTAACCGTTTGTTTTTCTTTCTCCTCTTCCCTTTCTCCTCCAGTTTCTCCTCTTATTCTTTTATTTCTCCTATAATGAAAGTATGTCCTATAGTCTACGACAAAACCCATGATGTTATTTATTTAGCTAAAAAAAAAAGTTTGTGTTTTATTTCTGTGTGAATTGCTAAAAGGAAAAATACTGCCCTGACAAATACAGAACAACATATGACTGCCTATGTGTAACATAAAACTTGTAGGGCATTGGAAGTTCAAAGTGACAATATGTTATTTCTGCCCTGAGGAGGTTTGTTTACCTTAAGTTATGATCCAGGTGTTGACATCCTTCCACACCCTAGCCAATTTATATGTTGAAGCCTACCTACCAATGTGTTGTATTAGGAGGTGGGGCCTTTGGGTGTTAGGTTAATTGAGGTCATGAGCTTGGATCCTCATTATGAGATTAAGTGACTTCATAGGGAAGAGTGATACCAGAGCTTTCTCATTTTATCTTGAAAGATACTGGGAAAAGGCAGCTACCCCAGGAAGGAGGCTAGCACAAACAATCCAACCATGCTGGAACCCTGATTCAGAATGTCCTAGCCTCCAGAACTATGATAAAAAAGTGTCTATTGTTTAAGCCACCCACTCAATGGTATTTTGTTATACTAGACTGAAGTCACCAAGACATCATATAATTTATGAAAGAGAGAAACTTAAAGACAATTTCAAAGAGAAAAGTCCAGGAGAGGGTTGAATATGTGACTTTGACTTAGGAGAAAAAGGTCCAGACTGGAACTGAATGTTTAGGAGTAATTAACTTATTGATTATAACGAAAATTGAAGAGATCATATGGAAGAAACTGTGCAGAAACAGAAGAGAAGTTGGCTAAGGATACAATCCTTGAGCCAATAAAAAAGCAATGTGGGAGAGAAAATGGAGAAGTTCATGAACATCTCCTAGAAGGAGATAGCTGAAGAGAGGACCATCTCCAAACAATATATGAATTTTGGAAACCAAGGTGATAAAATGTCAGGAAGGAAGATTAATTATCATGAACAAATGTCACAATTATTTGGAGATTGCTTAAGCTCTTTAAACTATAATTTTTCTTATCTAGAAATAGATATAATAAAGGTGAGAAGGTTTATAAATCACATTGCAGATAGAAATTGTCCAAATATAAACATAAAGCATTGTTTTTATATATAGCAACATAATCTTCATAAGGAAGAACACTGTAATTAAAAACAAACAAACACTCAGTGCCTGGTTGGTGTTGCTCAGTGGTTGGGCACTGGCCTATGCACCAAGAGGTTGAAGGTTTGATTCCTGGTCAGGACAAGTGCCTGGGTTGCAGGTTCAATCCCCCGAAAAGGGGCGTGCAGGAGGCAGCCAATCCATGTGATGTTTCTCTCTTAGTGATGTTTCTATCTCTATCTCCCTCTCCCTTCCTTTCTCTCTAAAAATCAGTAAAAACATGTTTTAGAAAAAAAATCACTCAAGAGCAGGCAGAAAATGAAAACCAAAGCAGTGATAAAATATCTTTAGAAATCATTTGTCACTTGAATCATTTTAACTCGAGGGAGAAAGTTAGAAATCTAATCAGATGTGAATCCATTTATAGAAGAGTAAGGGTGGATATTTGAAGGCAAATATGCCAAATGGAGGCAAATTTCTCTACAAAATAGGTAACTGTTTTCTATAATTCACTAATGGGCATGATGAGTTAGAAGCTTCACAAATTAATGCTATTTTTTGTATGACTTATCAAAGGGAAAGATTTAGAGTTATATGGAATAGTTATGTATACTATATAATACTCAGTAATGATAATAAACAACTATACTATGGCTTATCTATTGATTGCATCATTTTATATTGTGCTTGACTTAATCTCATGTTGTTTTGTACAGTAATATGCAGTACAGGCTTGGAGCAAGAGGCTATATCATATAATCCAGGTATGTAATAGGTTATACCATCCAGGTTGCTGTAAGTATACT